TATATATATATATATATATATGTATATATTATATATATATATATATATATATATATATATATATATATATATATATATATATATATATATATATATATATATATATATATATATATATATATATATATATATATATATATATATATATATATATATTTATTTATTTATTTATTTATTGTGCTTCGCTTCCAAATATCATACAATAATTGCATTAAAGTAGCTGGGACACCACAACAGCGTAACACCAATTACAGTGGGCCCTTTACAAAATATAAATATAAATATAGAAAACAGAAGTATGACAAAGTCGAGGTTTTCATATACAATAATCACCGAGCCTGAGGCGAATAATTGTCTTAGTATAATTTCATAGGTGATTATTTGGGAAAATAATAAAAAAATATTAAAAAAAGACACATTTCTTTGAGAATCGCTTATGTGTTTATCGCGTTATAATCACTTCAACGGCAACTAATCAGCGTGGAGAATTTTCAATAATCACCTGTGTAACTATATTTAGTTTACTTAAGGTACATTCACATACCGCGATCCGCCGTTTACGCTCGTATTCTGGCGTATCCAATCGAGTAGGCACACGTGAATTTGCTGTGCATGTAAAATTTCGCCTCAATTCAGATTTTTTGATTTGTGGCATCAAATGAATTTCATACACCAGAACGCGAATCGCACAGGACAAATCGCAATGTGCAAACGCCCCTCTAGTAACAGCAAGTTAATGGTCGGATGAGACTTCTGCTTGTGTTACATTTGACACAGACAGTCTTCCAAGTTCTTGAATCGTCATTCGTCAACGTTGTAGCAGGGTCGTAATGCAGTCAAGTAGTACGTTAATATTCCTTTTTTAAATTGAATAAAAGAAAGATTATTAAGCCTTAAATGCTCGGGGAGAGAGTTCCAAGTTCTAGTTGTTCGAAGAAAGAATGATCGATTATAAGTTCTTGTTTTATCTTTTCGTGGACGGAACGAGATTGCGTTGGCATTAGCAGATGATCTTGTGACTCTTACGGGAGCAATACGTTCAAGTAAGGAATTTTGAGATATCGATACAATGCCAGCAATAGCTTTGAAGAAAAACATTAAGTCTAAATATTCATGCCAACATGAGAAGGGAAGAAGTTCTGTCGAGATGAGTCTGTCTTTATAGGATACGTCACACATGAATGGGAAGCCTATAGATTAACTTTGAAGCTCGGCGTTGAACACGTTCTACTCGGTTGACGAGCTCCACCGAATGCGGCGACCACACTTGAGTGACATAGCCCAGCGCTGGTCGTACAATTGCCAAATATCCGCGATTTCCGTTGCAGATTTACGTACGAATCCGAGCATCCTATTGGCTGCGGCACATCGATCGAGCGTGTGTTTGGACAATGTCAGATTACTAGTAACCCAAATGCCAAGATCCTTCTCTTCTGTTGTCATTGCGAGGGTTTTGTTTTTGATGGTCTAGGGGAATTCGGTGGTAGTCTTTTTCCTGGTAATTCTCTGACACTATTATTTTGGTTAAATACAAGTCCAGAAGAAGTCGACCACTCCTCAAGATTATCAAGATCACTTTGAATCGAGGCACCGTCTATGTGAGAATCGACACACTTGAATAATTTTGTGTCGTCAGCAAAAGAAGCTACTTTTGCATTATTCACTACATCAGGTAGGTCGTTAACATAAAGGAGAAAGAGTATTGGACCCAGGATAGAACCTTGAGGGACTCCAGACAATACAGGTTTTTCAGATGATGTAGCCCCTAGAACAATCACACGCTGCCTTCTGTTCAACAAGTAGGAGGAGAACCAACCAAGTGAACTACCAGAGATGCCAAAGCAGTTGTAAAGTTTATGAATAAGAATTTGGTGGTTAACTTTATCAAAGGCTTTGGACATATCCATGTAGATCACGTCAATTTGTTTGCCAGCGTCCAGTAAAGATCCTGTATAGTCGTGCACTTCTACCAGCTGGGAAGTATAAGATTTTCCTGGAATAAAACCATGTTGGGAGTTGTTGACCAAGACTACCAAGTGATCTCGGATGCTACAAGAACACGGCGCTCGAGAACTTTCGAAATTATAGAGAGGAGAGAAATGGGGCGCTAGTTTTCAACTTGATCTTTTTCTGCTTTCTTGTACACAGGTACAATGTTTGCTAGCTTCCAATCATCAGGTACAACTCCACAACTAACATATTTATTAAATAGCTTAGTTAGTGAAGGCGCAATCTGGTGGGCAGTTTCTTC